CAAAAGACATGATATCCACCCCCTAGCTCATATCACTACACACAGACAACCACGGACATCAATTCGACTGGGACAACGTTCAAATATTAGACAGAGGAAACAACAAGAATCCTAGAGAATTTTTAGAAGCTTGGCATTCCAGTGAATCATCAATCAATAGACACATAGAGATAGACAAAATTAATCAACCGATAAGAAAGAAACCTCACACACAAGTTAAAGAAACAATCAGTTCCAATACAAGTAGCCTAGAAGGTGCGAAAACACACAAAAACAACCAATCACGTCCAAGGTCACCAGGAGAGATGATTAATAAACTCGTGGAGAAATCTAAAAGCTCACTTCAAATTGAAGTATGCGCCGAAGATGTCACACAGTAGGGTGATGAAAGCTTCGCAAATTAACCATCCAGCTCAGAGAACACAACCACATCAAAATCATCTACCTGAGCTACAAATAATCCCTATCATATCTGTAACTCAGATACACAGTCCATCTAAAATTTAAGCTAGTGTGTGAAGTTTCCAGGTTTTGGCACGTAAGTGTTTATTTGCATTCCACCTTTTAGTCGATCGATATCAATAAGAAATGGTGAAAGGAATTCTATTAAGCTCTATTTAACAGATGTGATTTAGTGATATATTCATGTATTTATGAAGTCATGCACAGTAATGCATTTTATACTACAGAATACCAAGCTGTGGACGAAGAAGCTAATACATATTTAATTTAACCTGGTTTGCTTGGTCGTAATTAGTTTTTAGACCATCTTTTTAGATTGCTTGGACAGTTATCACCTCTTCTAGTTTTGGAATCAGATTATTTTCGGACACAGTTGTTCAGCCGTTCACTCACGCAACCAAGCAGCTTAAAAGTGATAATAATGATGTCTGTCTGTTTTCGACATAGAACTTTGCACAAATGTGCGGAAGTTCAAGTCGCCACATTCCGTGTAGCACGCGAAGCAAGAGAAGAAAGTACAAGAAAAGCATAATAGAAACAGTGAGCAGAGGTGTGAGACAAAGGAGTAATAAAGAAATACAAAACAGTTTCATTGAAGATCATAAGTCACAGGGAGTGGATGCATCTGCGCCACTGAGAACGATTTTGAGCCATGTCACCAATTGTTTCCAACCATAGATTTTTACCGTCCCGAGGACCCCAGCCTGGAAGTCTACACCTTCCTACGTGGCTTAGACCAACTGTTGTGGATTTCATTGACTGATGCCAAGTTTTTGTTTGACCGCCGCTAGCTTTTTTCCAGCCTGACCCTATATCCGCTAACATAGCTCGTCGAGGGAGGCGATGGCTTGGCATACGTAACACATGTCCTAACCATCTCAGTCTTTGTAGCTTCACGACTTCGTCGATTGATTTCCCCTGTTTACCTAGAACTCTACGCCTAACCTCCATGTTGCTCACCTTATTATGCCACTTTACACGGGAAATAGAACGCAGGCACCTATGATCAAAGACAGCTAGTCTTTTCATGTCTTCCACTCTCAGTGGCCAGGTCTCACAACCATAAAGGAGGACGGAGCGGACTGATGAGCAGTACACCCGCCCTTTGGTCGATAGTCGAACATCTCGTCTACGCCAGAGTCGGCGTAAACTAACAAATGCGAAACGAGCCCCTTGTATTCGTGCTGAGATTTCGTCAGAGATCAGCCCGTTGGGGCTGATGGTACTTCCCAAATAAGTGAAGCGGTCAACGTGCTCTACCACTTCACTTCCTATTTTTAAACTAGGCGTCGATGTAGTCCAGTCCTGTAACATCATCTTGCATTTGGCGGGAGCGAATCGCATGCCAAACATTCGTAGATTGCGGCTCAAGGTGTTTAGAAGACTCTGCATTTCGTCAGCGTCTTCGCCTAGAAGGACTATATCGTCTGCATATTCCAAGTCAACGAGATTATTCCCCGGTAGCAAGTCAATCCCTGAATCGCTGAAGTCACCTAGGGTTAAGTCCATTAACACATCTATGATGAAGTTGAATAGAAAAGGAGATAATGGGCATCCTTGACGGACACCACTGGTCGTCATCAGTTCAGATGACAGCTCGCCGTAAGCCCTCACCTGGCTGTATGAGTACGAGTAGAGTGCCTTAATCAGTGCAATATATTTTCTTGGAATTCCCTTTACAGCCAAGCATCTCCAGAGAACTTCCCGATCGACAGAGTCGAATGCTGCCTTTAGGTCAAGAAATATAATGACTGTTGGACGCCGGTAGGAATGCCTATGTTCTAGAATCTGTCGGAGGGTGAAGATATGATCAATACACCCTCTTCCTGGTCTAAAGCCTGCCTGGCTCTCTCGTGTTTGTGCTTCCCGAGCACCACTCAGTCTACGCATGATTATTGAGCCTAAGACTTTAGATACTATATTAGTCAAGCTAATCCCTCTGTGATTATCACAGGAAGACTTGTCTCCCTTCTTGTATATGGGGATAATCAGTGACTTACACCAACCCGATGGGACTTCTTCTGATTCCCAGACGCTGCCTAGTACCTCAGTTAATCCGGACAGTAAGCTGTCTCCACCGTACTTAAATACCTCTGGCGTCATTCCATCAGGTCCCGCTGCTTTGCCTAGTTTCAGATTGGTGACAGCTTTAGTAACCTCAGTTAGTGACGGAGGACCTGTATCTATATCCCATTCAGGGAGGTGTTGGATGCTCGGAAGGTTGAGCGTGGCTGTGGGCAAATTAAACTGCTCCTCATAATGCTCTTTCCAACGATCCAGTCGTCTATCCTGGGAGCTAATTATAGTGCCATTTTTTTCCGAGATTGTCTCACTGATGATTTGTCTTCTCCCACCCGTTTCCCTGATGAGTCCAAAGAGTTGCCTGGTGTTGCCTATCCTCGAAGCTTTCTCCATCTCTTTGGCTTTTGTCGCCCACCACTGTTCACGGTCCTTGCGGAGACTTTTCGTAAGTTTCCTCTTGTGCAGCTTTCGCTCCTCATTGAATTCGGAGCTCGCCGGAATAAGTCTTCTAGCATCTATCAGTTCGGATGAGGCGGTGGAGATCCAGTGGTTTTTACTCACCTTTGGGTTTACCTTATTCACAGCTTTTACAGCTGTATCTATGGCTGCCTGGATATTTTTCCAAGCTTCTTCAGGGTGAGCACAGCTGTCGAACACAGATATGTGTTTAGCTAATAATGATGATAAATAGTGATAATAATAATAATAAGTATTTAAGGATTAAGTTTTTACTAATGTACTGTATTTCTTCTTCCTCTTGATTTTATTAATAGTGTACAGTTTAGCTTAATTTAGACTAGAATAAAAATGTTTCACTCCAATTCAATGATTCCGTTATTTCCTTTTGTGGTATCCTATGAAATACAAAGTAAAGAAGATTGACTGTTAAAAAAAATATTGTTAATATATGATGGTCAGGTCAGTTAAGTTCACAAAATTAAGACACATTTTGGGTTTTAAATTATTAGAACTTTATGAATAGTGTTAGTATGTATCCGGAAATACTCAAACTCAATGGTTTGTTTGTGATCAATGGATAGAGTGCGTGGATTATGCTCAGTTTACTTGTGTAAGGTAGTGTAGGTTTTCACCATAAATGTATTCAGACATATTCTCTGTCACTGATCTTCTATAGTCGTGTACTTTCATTGATAAAAAAAATATTTTATTAAGTAGTTGTGATATTTTCAAATGGGGAGAAGAATGGTGAAATTTTGTTGATAAAACACTCCCATTTAGTTATTTTTTTTAAAAAAATATGTAACTTTTCAATCATTTAGTCATTAAAGCAATGATTTATTTTCTTCCTTTGTGTTCATAGTTTACTTCACATTAACATTATATGTCTCTCCATTATAAAACATTGTTCAAATACTTCCTCCTCTATAAAATTACCTTATTAGTTTACCCATGAAATAGTTATGCACTAAGATATATCTGCATAAAACTATATGTGTGGTGAGAGCAGGCTGCTAGCCAATTGGTAGATATTAATTCACGTCAGTGTCTAGGTCACTAATATTGGCCGTGAGAAAATAATGAACAAGGCTGATTCGACAACCAATCACAACAGACTTAACGTGGGCAAGTAAGATTCGCAAATATATGACTTAAATATCCGAGAAACCAGAAACAACCAATCAGAAGACTGTGTTTGTCTGCTTGAATAAGCTATAATAATGTACATGAAATATATATAAATACGTGCGGATTTCCGTAATAAAACGATCTGTTGCCGGCCCTTGTCTTCTGTTGTTACATATGTACACATGTGAATAGATAGTGGTGTTTTCATCCTCACTTATAAATGACACTGTTTATATGCATGCATACCATCCTATTTATTTTTTTAAATTTTGGTTACAGCTTGATTCCACATCATATTTTTGGTACAAGTATGGAAATTTCAGCATGTGATATCGGTAGCCCAAATTTTGCAGGCCAACCATAGATATCAGGTGTGCGTCGGCACGGGATCGAACCTCGGACCATGTGCATCGGTGGTTAATTGGTAGAATACTCGTCAGCCATCCATATGGTCCATGTTTCGATTCCTGGCCATCGCATTCGGTAAACTCACTTAACTCGTTAATATTTTGTCCGCGTCCTTTTTAACGATTTTAGTTACATACAATGCTTTCTGTGGTAAGCATGAACATCCATGCACCCCAGGTAAATTCAATCATATATACACAGTGAAAATAGCATTGAAGTGAATTCATTTTTTTTTGTTTGGTTGTTTTCTCCCCTTCATTTTTAAGTAAAATTTCAATTTTTCCCGAGATAATTGTTAATTATTCTTAGCAATTTAGAAGAAATCTTTACAGGATACAATATATCTGCCATCTACTGTGTTAGTCTTTTTTTCAGTTGATATGGATTTAAGTAGTCGCGGTTATAATTAAGATAAGTTGATGAAGCTATTATTAACTCTTAGCTGGTTGTTCATGAAATATATATTCGACATTAGTTATTTTATGCCTTTCTATGTGTATCTTTATATCCTATATTTTCAGGTATCTCTTAAAGAAGGATATGTTCCAAAATCAAAGCCAAAAAAACGTATAGGCAAGGTGATTTCAGCTACTTCAGGTGGAAATGATGAACAACAAACAACTTTGTCAGTACCACAATCTAAAATTTCATCACATCAGAGCCGACAATCTGCTTCGAAATCTCCGTTACCTGAAGTTCGTCAAAATGCTGATGTTCAAGAGACAAGTAGACAACGATTAACTAAAAGTACACCACCAAAAGATAATCCACCCTCGGAACCAGTAGTATGTTTATTTATTATTATTATTTATATAAACTTTGTATATATCTCTTTCGTTCATGTCAATATTTTTTATTGATACACTGGTATATATATATATATATATATATATATATGGAGTCTGGCAACTTAAACTGCTCTGCAGCTCTGAGCAAAGCTCTACATTCTTTCGCTTTGAAGATAACTAAACAGTTAGCCGGTGGCACAGCGGTTAAGACGCTCGCCGACCATGCACATCGTCTGGGGTTCGATCCCCGGCCGATGAACTCCTTTACCTCGCTAAACCAGTAATAAGACTGGTAAAGAGGAAAGGTTGGGCGTGAGGCTAGCAACCCCATCCTTTAAAATTAAACACTACTACAGAAACTTCAAGCCACTAGGTTGAGGCCCTATGTTCCACTGGGAACGTGAAGGAAATAAAAAGAAACAGTTAGTCATAAAATATTTCCTGGGAAAAGAATGTTAAGCATCCCTTCTTAACAGTTGATAATTATCACTTTTCGAAGTTTCCTGTTAGAGTAGTTTTAGTTCACCCCGTGCCATGATATCAAGGTTCTTTCATTTGAACATCGCAGTAAAAACTGAAGTCATCATTGGTATAGTGTCCTTTATTAGGAATTAATTGAAAAGTATTTCAGGGCATTGTATATATGTGTTAATGTCTTAATATTGTTCGGAGACCATATGCATTATCCTAAATAATTATATTCGACATTATCTATGTGATTATGAACAGTTTCAATCGTCAGTGTTTTGGGTATTCTTTCGTTTTGTTGTCTAACATGTTGTGTGGATCTTGGTCTAGTCTCCATTTCTTCACAGACCAAACCAACAATGTTTTCAGAATAGTTAGTGTTCTACATTTATTAGTTGCCTTCTAATCATTGGAATCAATCCAAGTTCGGTAGTATTTCAACTTCTTACAAATTATCCCTTTGTTGTACTCATGGAATCGGTATTTACACAACTGAATGTTTGGCCAAGTTATTTTGTATACAGTATGTATGCACATCTGAAAGTCCTACATGAAAGAGATTGTTATCATATTTTAGGATTTTCGCTTGATGCCATCTAAAATGTACCCTCAAGTCGATAGAAACGTTTCAATGCTTTTAAAGCTTCATTTTTAGTCGATGGCCTCTTATGTTCTTCATACTCAGCATATCTCCGACACAATTGATAGAAGGAATTTTTTATCCAGGACCTGTGTTTGGTGACTGTAACTAGTGTCATTTTCTTCATATTTCCTTAACTTCTATGACCGACCATCTAGTGAAGATAGTTTTATATAACAGTTGGCCTCCGGATAGAACAACCAAAGTAGCCGTCTGTTTCAAAGTTATTTTACTTGAAGTTTATCGATCATTTGTACAGCGTCGTCACTACGCCTTCGGCTACATTAGAATTCTATATTAGAGTCTGTCTGTTTTCGACATAGAACTTTGCACAAATGTGCGGAAGTTCAAGTCGCCACATTCCGTGTAGCACGCGAAGCAAGAGAAGAGAGTACAAGAAAAGCATAATAGAAACAGTGAGCAGAGGTGTGAGACAAAGGAGTAATAAAGAAATACAAAACAGTTTCATTGAAGATCATAAGTCACAGGGAGTGGATGCATCTGCGCCACTAAGAACGATTTTGAGCCATGTTACCAATTGTTTCCAACCATAGATTTTTACCGTCTCGAGGACCCCAGCCTGGAAGTCTACACCTTCCTACGTGGCTTAGACCAACTGTTGTGGATTTCATTGACTGATGCCAAGTTTTTGTTTGACCGCCGCTAGCTTTTTTCCAGCCTGACCCTATATCCGCTAACATAGCTCGTCGAGGGAGGCGATGGCTTGGCATACGTAACACATGTCCTAACCATCTCAGTCTTTGTAACTTCACGTCTATATTAGAGTTGGTTAACATTAGTCTTGTAACAACAGAAGACAGGGGGCAGGCAACAGATCGTTTATTAAGGAAAGCAACACATATTTACAAATTTTTATGTACATATTATAGATTATTGTTAGCAGAATAACACAGTCCTCTGATTGGTTGATTCTCACAGGAAGTTGACCTTGCACCTCTTTGTGACTGTTTCTCAAATGTCAGATCATCTATATGTTAACTGTATCTGCCTACGTAAAGCCTTTGTTCTCATTTTTCTCACGACGAATATTGGAGACATAAACATTGACGTGAAATACTGTCCACCAATTTTGACTAACAGCCAGTTCTCACCACAGTCTGACCGAAATGCTTGCTACATAAAAGAAGTTTTAAATCGTGTGAAGAACATGAGTATCTACAAAGTTGCTAATGTGTGCCAGTGATCATGAGACGTGAGCTAAAGGTCTTTTCTTGAGATGCTGAATGACTTATTTTTCATACATAACAGGGTATGTAACGAAATTTTATGTGTCTAAATGAATTTTATTAGTATCATATAAATTGCCTGGGTTGATAATTGTCATAGTCTCATGTAGTGGGTGAATCACATCTGCTTTACTATTGGAATCACTATACAAATGTTAGCACAGTTGGTACAGAATGCACACTTCGCTGGGTGGATCTACCTGAATTCCTCAGTGTATGAGGGTTTTCCTACTGAGATTCGAACCCAGTACTCATCATTTTTCAAACCCCACTTGTGCTACATCCAGTTAACGATTCTTAAATAGAATGAAATGCGCATCTTGGATTTCACTGTGAGTTATTATCCACCATCAATGGGAAAACCAAATTTGAATAAAAAACCAACAAGAATTATTGTATATTTAGAAAATGTTTGAATTTCATATTAGATTATGTAGGACTTTTTATCCTATAGACATTTCTAAAAAAGACTGATGTGTTTATCAAATGTTTATTCTGTTCTGAAACGATTTCTATGCCTTTTATTCTACAGAATGGTGTCTCAACCGGTGCTAGTCATGTAAATGCTATTGATGTCCAACATCTTATGGAAGATATTCGTAAAATGAAGATTATTATCAAAGGACACGAAAGACGTATACGAAATTTAGAAGAACGTTTAGATCTAACAGACAGTGGTGGAGATTGTGTTTCATCCATGTCTGTTAGCTCAATCAAATAAGAAGTTTAAAAAGATAAACAGACAAACTAATTGGCTATCATCAGGTCTACACAAGAAAACACCTTTCTCTACTTACTATTCGTTACATAATTATTGACCAGTAATTTTATGGGGAAAAACACACAAACAAACTACTCTGTGTAGCCAGTTGTGTCATACTTTTCAGGATAAAAGTAGCGAATTTAATATCATGTAATTCACTGCATGTGTATTCTGAAGGCTTTTTTTGTGTAGCGCTTAATAACAAAACGTCTTCCACTCACTGTGACCGTCAACAAAAAAATCTCATGAGTTAGTGTTTCTTTTCTCCTTATACATATATGAATTTATCAGCTTGTTCAGCTTCTGTGTAAATCATTTCTAATCGACTATTATTATTATTATTGGTTCGAACAAACAGTACTCGTCAGCATTTACTAACGACATATATATATATGTCTATTCGTTTGCCTTTCTGTGTTTCAATAATCCCCTCCACCGTCCCCATCCCCCTCAAAAAGCATAATGTACGACTTTTATAGTCTTCATCTATTGTTAGTTAGTCTACTTCAGTATAGAAAAACTCATGTAGACATTATAGTCCTTATTTATGCTTTACTACAATCTACTGAATGGTTTCCATGTTCACCCTAAAATTTAGACATACAGTATCTATGCTGTCACTCACACACACACACACACACACTTGTTACCAGTTTTTGATGTATTGATGTACTACTAAATATGAGTAGATAAATCAATGAGTGCCTATACGTTTTTTTATATTATTCAATGTTTCATCGCTAATCCAGTGTGTTTAATATTTCTAATTTTTCAGACTTTCTTCTCTTTCTTTTGATACTGTTTTTTTTTTCGACGATTGGGATTAAAGTTCTCCTCTCTGAATTTGTTCACTGATTTCTATTTACAGTTTTTATTTGTGTTTTTTTTCGATTCTTATATGCATATATTGTGCTGGTTGTTTATTCTGGTTTACGACAATTTATCTGCTGACATCAACCGACATACAAGTACTGTCCCCACTACCACTACTTCTTCTTCTTCTTCTTCTTGTCCTCTTGTACACAACATCGGTGATTACTGCTGTTGTAGCGGCTGTTTTGTATGCTTTGTCTATTGATCCTTTCTAGTTTTGTTTGTGTGTTTTTTTATTTTGTAGTTCTTATATTTCTGGTCCCTCAGATTACTTTTTGCTATTATATTATTATTATTATTTATAGTTCTATGTAGATTTTGTTTCGGATGTTTTTCCTTCCATTTTGCTTTAATATGCTTTCTATTGATGCGAATTTATTTCCCTTATTGATATATATATATATATATATATATATATATATATATATATATATATATATATATTGATGTATTCTCGTTGTTTTGCATATTCTTCAATCAATGTCAATGGAATTCTTTTGCTTTTCGAAAAATGAAAGTTATTCAATGCAGTTTCAATCATTTAAATCCAAATTGTTTTCACTTATTTGATGTTTATAATTGTTGGGTATTGTTGAATAACAGTTTATAATTAATTAAGTTGACACCTTTAATGGAACAGTGATTGACTTATTGCTTTGTTAGTGTGTGTGTTGATTTGTCAGGATTTGATTGATTACAAGTTCAACCACGTGCTGATATCAGTTAAAGAACAATTGAAAAACCAGGGAGTACTGGATAGCCGCTTCGTCCGACTTTGAAACTCTTCATTAGTGCACATCCACCGGGGTTCAAACTCAGGACTTTCCGGTTAAATAGGGAGAGAGTAGAGCATTTAGTCATTGACCTACGAATTTAGAGTTCTACCAATTTACCCGGAATTCATTCAGCTCCTATTGGCTGAATGGTCTACGAGCTCGCCTTGAAACTGGTAGACCCTGAGTGTGTACTGATGAGCAATCTCAAAGTAGGATTAAATAGATAATTATTCATCGAATGTACAGAAGTCATTAGATTTGAAAATCATTCTGAGTAATATGTGATAGCGTAGTGGCAAGTTTCTATGGTGAAAGTAGTGTGGTAGATGACTATATCATTTAGTATATGATCAGTGAGTGGATACGATGTACATTGAACATGGAAACAACAATACGTATGCTGATTAGTATTAATTAGTGGATGGTGACTAGCAGTGGAATCCACGACGCGCATTTCCTCCTATTTTGAACTTTTCAGCTGAATATACCTGCATTTCTCAGTGAATAATGATGTTCCCACCGAGGCTCGAACCCAGTGCCCATAGTTTCATCGACGGGAAAATCTCAAATTTAATTAAAATACGTACGCTGATACGGGTGTTATTTGAATTTATGGGTGTCATATTAAAATAGCCACCAAACGAATATGAACTGATTAAGTTGTAATGCTCTTTTCACTAAAGTCATTTTAAAAGACAGAGGATGGAAATTTGTTATTTATGAAAAAAATACTGGAGCTAATATGAAGTTTCAGTTCCCAAGCTTTAATTAAAAACTAACTTGATTGTTATTGTTTTCTCTGTTCGAGTAGATGTGTATATGTTTACATTTATCAAATACTGATCACATTCCTTGACTTAAGTAGTGAATGTGACATTATCGAACAAAGAAGCTTTGAGACGTTAACTCTTACGAAAAATTGTTGTCTAATAAGTAATTCAAACTTTTTAGTGAGACATTAGTATTGAGTCATACTTTACGTATGTTAATTATATGTTCTGCATTACATTCGGCAAACACAGCACAACTGATGGGCATTGTGAAGAAAAGGGAAAAGTAGTTAGAAGACTGTTAACTGCTCTTTCAGTGATGTACAGTAGGGAGAAGTGATTTACCTGCGGGATAATGGTGAAAAGATGAGATAGTATTTTTTACTTATCCTGTTTGTTCGATCAAACTGAGTTGAGGAGGTATCTTTTCTAAGGTGATAGTTACTGACTACTAACTGTTGTGTCAAAAGCCTCATTTGTAAGTAATGAATAATAATAGTCCACACTAGAGCTTGACATTCGTTGATAAACACAAGTATGTCATACTACACTCAACATCAAGGTTCAAGTGCTGTCTCCCTGTCTGTTGTTATTGCTGGTCCACAGTGAATGATTCTCAGTGCTGATCTTTTGAAAGAAGTAGATTTGTTTTTTTATTCAGAGGGAAGGGTGAGTATCACTCGAATCCAAAGATCGGGTAAAGTTTAGGTAAGGAAAAAGGTACACTATTAGTGATAGGCCAGTCTCACAATATTTTGCAAACTGAAGAGGGCTGTAGAGTGTCACTAAGAGACACGGATCCGTCTGCTTCTTGAAAATCTGTCAACCAAGGCTATGTTTTCTTACTCTGTTGTTGCTAGGAGTCTTTTGAATACTGAGTGAAAATCTATGAATGAGTAGAGCGCACTATACGGCTTAATCTGTGTTCCAGTATGTTAATGAAATATTTGTAGGGGAGTTACACACTACTGTTTTCGTAAAACTCCTGAATTACGATGTACGTTTTTTATAAAGCTTTGTGACACTAATCAAACGCTCCTAAGAATAGAGGTAGACTGGTTGATATTCATTAACTAACGTAATTTAGATGGATTCATATGACCCCTCCCAAATACTCTACGTTGATATTACTATAATAGAAGATTTAAGTTAGTAATACTCATGCTTGAAATCAGTCAATGAAATCACCACTTTATTGCCTAAACTATGTAAGTAGGTGAAAGCCAACCGGTTGGATGTAAAGAAATAACTGAAGTACTTGGTTGTATAATTTAGGTGAAGTAGACTCGATCCCAGCCGGCGCACTCCCAAACCTCGCTAAGCTGGTAGTTAGGCCGGCAAAGAGGGAAGGCTTGGCATGAGGCTAGCAATCGTATGCCGTAAAAATAAAAACCACTACCGCTGAAGCTTCAAACCTCCAACTTGAAACATAAAGAAATAAAATAAATAATGCAGCTGTGCATTTGTAAATTTATTATTATTATTGTATCCTTTAGTTCCTAGAGGAACATAGGGCTTCAGCTGCGCACCTCCATTGCCTTCGGTTTTCTGACAACTTTTTCACCTTGCTCCAGGTCTGTCCACATGCTTTCATCTCCTCCTCGCATGATCTCCTCCAAGTCACCCTTGGACGACCAACTCGCCTCCTCCCTTTCGGGTTCCACTCGAGGGCTTGTCTAGTGATGTCATTGATGGTTTCCTCAGCGTATGGCCAATCCATCTCCAGTTCTTTCTGCCTATTTTTTTCACAATCGGTTCCTGGTTGGTTCGCTCCCAGAGATCCCTGTTGCTGATCTTTTCTGGCCATCTGATCTTGAGTATTGAGCGGAGACAGCTGTTAATGAAGGTTTGGAGTTTGTTTGAGATGCTCTTTAATATATCACCATGTAAGGCTTATTATTATTATTATTCCCTTGGGTTCCATGTGGACATAGGGCTTCAACAACAAAAAGCCACTTTCTTCTATTTTCTGCCGTCCTCTTCGGCTGAGTTTACGATCGCCGATAACCACTCATCTCCTCCTCTCACGATCTGCGCCATGTCACCGTCACACTGACGACCAACTTGTCGCTTCTCATTTGGATTCCACTCGAACATTGGCCTGGCCTGCGATGTTACAATAGTAATAATAATATGATCAGGGTATCTGACCACAAACCTTATCTCAACTTATTATATTACATACTATGCCTAACTTTTATTCTTATATTAAGCATAAATAATTAGTATTTCAGGCATTCAATGTTTCACTTTATTCATATTCACTTTATAAGAAGAGTTTTTCTTCATCACCTCTTCTTTACGATATTATCATTAATAATGCGGGAAACACAGTTACCTATCTAACTATATCACCGGTTAAGGCGCTCCATTCCAAAAACACCTATTGATGAGGCCCACACACGGGACTTCGCATAATAACCTATTCTGGATGATCTTTGAATGCTGTCACTGTAGTTACTGTATCTTCAGCTAGTGTGGGATAGTCAGTGATTAGACAAGATGAAATATGGAAACCTGTTGAGAATAAATAGTTCAG